AAGATCAAAGCCAAAAGGGCCGCCATTCAAAAGTTGACGGAGCATGATGCCAATGGCACTTGCCCCAAATCGCTTCAGATTTCGCATCAGATGACCTTTTCGGATGGTCTTCGCGAATCTGATCCTGAATTTGTGAAAATTCAAAGCGAATATTTTGAGGAGATTAAATCTCGCTACCTCAAGCAGGCAACTGCTATTGCACTCAAAGTGCAACATGAGGAACTCAGAACTCTCAACTTGCAATTTGGAAATTTGGATACAGAATTTTACAATAAAACTTGTGAATTTTTTGATACCCAACAAACTGCCGCCTATCCCACTGTACCTCTAACAAAGGGCATCGCATCAGGACGCGAAGTGGGATTTCGCGATCGGTTTTCAGGGGAATTCCATTTTCCGTATTTGGTCGAATTGGCCAAAGACAAATATTGCTCTAAATGGTCCCATTATCTAGATGGTCTAAATGATCGTCTAGCTCTAATGTCCATTAAAGCCAAAGCCCTCGAGGCTAAGCGTGCCGCTGCTGAAGACACAGAAATGGGTCTTCCAGACGAGACTAAGATTAAAGATCTTGTGTCGAAAGTGGCTGACGCCAAGTTCAAAAAACTTGAATCAATGATCCGTGGCCTGTCTAAATCCAGCCCGGGTCCCAAGTCGCGTCAAAAAAACCGCCCAGCCGGGAAAAAGACCCAGTCACCCGGCAAAAAACCCAAACCGAAACCCAAACCTCGCGCAAAAGGCGCCCCCGGCGGTCACACTGGGCAAAACAAGCGAAAACGCGCCGGGCAAATTTCCGGAAGCAAAAACGCCAAGCCAAGAAACAAGCACTAAAAGCAGATTTAGTAGTTAAAACTCCTTTAATACAGCTTAAGTCTTCAACTAAAACTAATGTTTTACGTTTATTCGGTAATCGTCCGGTGTTTACTATTAATCACCGTGTCACAAATTTAGCATTTCATGACCTTACCCCTCCGGGCACGAACCTTCCTAACGGTCTGTCCAAATTATTAGGTCTCAGCTTTAAATTTTGTCCAACACCACCCCGAATTAAAACGGCAGCCTATTTGGCTGGGTTCGATTCACTTATGCGTTCTATTAAAATTAACGCTGCTTTTCGTGATAAACCGGATCGCACATATGCAAAACAAATCTATGTACCGAATCCGTCATGGAAACCCCCGGAATTAGCTAATCCTAATTTTATGCAATTCCTTATGCATACTCGTGGCATCCTAAAAGATAGCTTAGACTTATATAAATTTCGTCATAGCTTTAATTTGCCACGGCGTAGTCGACAAATGCTTGGTGAGCTTCGTCGTAAAACTGACCTTAAATTCTTGGCGACCGACAAAAATCTCGGTCCCGCTGTCATGTTAACGGAACAATATATCCGTTGGTGTCTTGAACATCTTCGTTCTGACAATATTTACTTACATTATCCCAAAATTCCATTGCGTGCATTACAACGCATGGTATTAAATTGGCACTTCAGGGTATCTAAAAAATATCCCGAATTAGTAAGAAATATCAAGATAGTTATACATACTATTGATACTACAATACCGGCTCGGTTTTATGGAATGCCTAAAATTCATAAAACTCCGATGGGATTTCGCCCAATTGTAGCATCTATTAATTCACCCCTTCATGGCTTATCAAAATGGATAGATTATATGCTTCAGCCATATATTCTAAACTGTAGCCATATCCTTCAAAGTAGTAATCGCTTACTACCACAGTTAAGCGACCTACAAATACCCTCTGATTCGCTCTTGACAACCTGGGATGCTACTTCCCTCTATACGTCCATACCGAATTCAGAAGGATTACGAGCAATATCATGGTGGCTACGGGACTCTAAGTACCGTGATATCATCTTAGAAGGGATAACCATACTTATGAACCATAATTGGTTTGAATTTGGAGACACTTGTTGGCGCCAAACCCGTGGTGCTGCAATGGGTACACCCGCTGCTCCTAGTTATGCTAACTTATATTTAGCATACTACGAGATAAATGTACTATTTCCAATGTTCAAAGACTCTTTGGTTTTCTATACCAGATATATTGACGATGTATTCATCATATTTTCAGTTGATACTTCGCGTCTCTGGTATTATAATCGCTTTAAAGCTGTCATGTCGCGTACCTTTCCGGGTATTAAGTGGACGTCACCATCCCAATCACTAGATTTAGGTATGACACCTCCACCGCAAACAGCTGATTTTCTTGACTTAACTATTACTCTCGAAAATACTACAATTTTTACGCAAACTTATCAAAAAGCGTTAAATTTGTATCTTTATCCCTGTCCTACCAGTGCTCATCCGCCTGGTGTATTTTCAGGGTTAATTCATGGCTTAATCCGCACATATTTTACTCAAAATACGAAACTTGATGATTTTAAATCAACTTTGCGTTTGTTATATACGCGGTTACGTGCCCGCGGATTTTCGGAATATTTCCTAAAGAAAACATTTACATCAGCGTATGCTAAATGTCGCCAACCTTCTACTAATAGTAAGGATGGCATGCGAATTATTCCGTATAAAATCACTTTCGACTCTAACGGCCCTCGCCAAAAGACACTTAAGAAAATGATTAAATTTCGCCAACTTCAACGTCTACTAATAAGACAACGCCTTGGTCGCTTAGTTATTTGCTATAAACGCCCACATAACTTAGCATCATTATTAATTCGTGCTAAAATTCAGCCTGAATTTAAACCAAGTCCAAAAGAACTTTTAAATCTTTAAAACTAAGTAATGTTTTAAATATTTAAATTAATGTTGAAAAGAGATATATAAATATAAAATAAATATAAAAAATATATATGAAGTTGTGTGTACAAACTCCGTACAGCTGGGATGTGTATGAAGCTCGAAAATATTCGAGTTCAGGACACCGTCCCGCCCCTAAAATAGGGGGCTTACCGTACCAAGCGTTTGTACGACCAACTAATTTCCCCGGGAGCGCACGGCCTCAGTGATCCTACATTCCTGGGCAATGGGAATGCGGTATCACATCGTAGGCGCAGTGGCACATTTGGGGAGCCCAAGTTAGGACGTTCCACCGATATGGTAAATTGCACTTGATCTTATCCCGAAATGGGACGAGAAGGCATGATTTTTTGACCCATATCAAGCTTTAGCTTATAGACACTCTAGTACCCACGCGTACAAGTGGCAATATATAATGGGTCATTTTACCCATTTTAGTACCCAATTCCAATTTGGGTACAGTGTGAGGCCCAGTTTTGGCTGGGCCAACACCCAACCCCTAAACCCCAAACCTAAAACCTTATACCTGATATCATCGATTATAACAGGTATCTGTTTTGCGTCTCTAATAACTGTCAGACTTTATAACTGATACTATCGCTTTGAGCGGGTATTTGTTATTGTTAGACTTTCAAACCTTATAATTGATACTATCTCTTTGAACGGGTATTAATTTTTGGTATCAATAATATGATTGGCTTAAAAATTAACATTTTGATTGGCTTAAAAGCCGAATACATGATTGGCTTAAAAATCCTACATATTCGATTGGCTAATAAGTCACCTATCTGATTGGCTTAAATGTCATCAATTTGATTGGTCCAAACCTAAAAAATAATGATTGGACCAAAAGTCAAAATTTTGATTGGTTTAAAAATTAAACAGATTATTTGGTCACAAAATCAAAAATTTAACATAATTTAACAAAATTTGTTTAATTCTATCATATTTATCCTTTCGGCACATTGTCTTAAAACTACTATGCTATGTTTTAAGCGCTGTTGTAAGCCAGCTCAAAAATTTGACTGGTTCACATACGCCGAAAAAACACGTGGGAATTCTCACTGATGAAGGCTACCCAGCCGAAAGGAAAGGTCACTTTTGATTTTCCTTTGAGATACGTGTTTGTATTCAGTAGCCTAGTTATATTCTATATTTTAGTTTTTTACTAGGTTTATACTGTATACTGTATACTTTGTATACTCTGGTATTCGAAGGGAAGTTGACCATGTCTACCTCGGTAGACCCAACCCTAAACCCTAAACCCTAAACCCTAAACCCTAAACCCTAAACCCTAAACCCTAAACCCTAAACCCTAAACCCTAAACCCTAAACCCTAAACCCTAAACCCTAAACCCTAAACCCTAAACCCTAAACCCTAAACCCTAAACCCTAAACCCTAAACCCTAAACCCTAAACCCTAAACCCTAAACCCTAAACCCTAAACCCTAAACCCTAAACCCTAAACCCTAAACCCTAAACCCCAAACCCCTAAACCCCAAACCTAAAACCTTATACCTGATATCATCGATTATAACAGGTATCTGTTTTGCGTCTCTAATAACTGTCAGACTTTATAACTGATACTATCGCTTTGAGCGGGTATTTGTTATTGTTAGACTTTCAAACCTTATAATTGATACTATCTCTTTGAACGGGTATTAATTTTTGGTATCAATAATATGATTGGCTTAAAAATTAACATTTTGATTGGCTTAAAAGCCGAATATATGATTGGCTTAAAAATCCTACATATTCGATTGGCTAATAAGTCACCTATCTGATTGGCTTAAATGTCATCAATTTGATTGGTCCAAACCTAAAAAATAATGATTGGACCAAAAGTCAAAATTTTGATTGGTTTAAAAATTAAACAGATTATTTGGTCACAAAATCAAAAATTTAACATAATTTAACAAAATTTGTTTAATTCTATCATATTTATCCTTTCGGCACATTGTCTTAAAACTACTATGCTATGTTTTAAGCGCTGTTGTAAGCCAGCTCAAAAATTTGACTGGTTCACATACGCCGAAAAAACACGTGGGAATTCTCACTGATGAAGGCTACCCAGCCGAAAGGAAAGGTCACTTTTGATTTTCCTTTGAGATACGTGTTTGTATTCAGTAGCCTAGTTATATTCTATATTTTAGTTTTTTACTAGGTTTATACTGTATACTGTATACTTTGTATACTCTGGTATTCGAAGGGAAGTTGACCATGTCTACCTCGGTAGACCCAACCCTAAACCCTCCTCGACACCCCGTCGATTCAAGCTGCGATCCGGTGAGGCCTTCGAACCCTCCGTTGATTGCGCTGCCACTCTTCCTGGATGAGCATATTACTGCCTCCTATAGGAAGAAGGTGACCCTTAATGGCAAGATCAAAGCCAAAAGGGCCGCCATTCAAAAGTTGACGGAGCATGATGCCAATGGCACTTGCCCCAAATCGCTTCAGATTTCGCATCAGATGACCTTTTCGGATGGTCTTCGCGAATCTGATCCTGAATTTGTGAAAATTCAAAGCGAATATTTTGAGGAGATTAAATCTCGCTACCTCAAGCAGGCAACTGCTATTGCACTCAAAGTGCAACATGAGGAACTCAGAACTCTCAACTTGCAATTTGGAAATTTGGATACAGAATTTTACAATAAAACTTGTGAATTTTTTGATACCCAACAAACTGCCGCCTATCCCACTGTACCTCTAACAAAGGGCATCGCATCAGGACGCGAAGTGGGATTTCGCGATCGGTTTTCAGGGGAATTCCATTTTCCGTATTTGGTCGAATTGGCCAAAGACAAATATTGCTCTAAATGGTCCCATTATCTAGATGGTCTAAATGATCGTCTAGCTCTAATGTCCATTAAAGCCAAAGCCCTCGAGGCTAAGCGTGCCGCTGCTGAAGACACAGAAATGGGTCTTCCAGACGAGACTAAGATTAAAGATCTTGTGTCGAAAGTGGCTGACGCCAAGTTCAAAAAACTTGAATCAATGATCCGTGGCCTGTCTAAATCCAGCCCGGGTCCCAAGTCGCGTCAAAAAAACCGCCCAGCCGGGAAAAAGACCCAGTCACCCGGCAAAAAACCCAAACCGAAACCCAAACCTCGCGCAAAAGGCGCCCCCGGCGGTCACACTGGGCAAAACAAGCGAAAACGCGCCGGGCAAATTTCCGGAAGCAAAAACGCCAAGCCAAGAAACAAGCACTAAAAGCAGATTTAGTAGTTAAAACTCCTTTAATACAGCTTAAGTCTTCAACTAAAACTAATGTTTTACGTTTATTCGGTAATCGTCCGGTGTTTACTATTAATCACCGTGTCACAAATTTAGCATTTCATGACCTTACCCCTCCGGGCACGAACCTTCCTAACGGTCTGTCCAAATTATTAGGTCTCAGCTTTAAATTTTGTCCAACACCACCCCGAATTAAAACGGCAGCCTATTTGGCTGGGTTCGATTCACTTATGCGTTCTATTAAAATTAACGCTGCTTTTCGTGATAAACCGGATCGCACATATGCAAAACAAATCTATGTACCGAATCCGTCATGGAAACCCCCGGAATTAGCTAATCCTAATTTTATGCAATTCCTTATGCATACTCGTGGCATCCTAAAAGATAGCTTAGACTTATATAAATTTCGTCATAGCTTTAATTTGCCACGGCGTAGTCGACAAATGCTTGGTGAGCTTCGTCGTAAAACTGACCTTAAATTCTTGGCGACCGACAAAAATCTCGGTCCCGCTGTCATGTTAACGGAACAATATATCCGTTGGTGTCTTGAACATCTTCGTTCTGACAATATTTACTTACATTATCCCAAAATTCCATTGCGTGCATTACAACGCATGGTATTAAATTGGCACTTCAGGGTATCTAAAAAATATCCCGAATTAGTAAGAAATATCAAGATAGTTATACATACTATTGATACTACAATACCGGCTCGGTTTTATGGAATGCCTAAAATTCATAAAACTCCGATGGGATTTCGCCCAATTGTAGCATCTATTAATTCACCCCTTCATGGCTTATCAAAATGGATAGATTATATGCTTCAGCCATATATTCTAAACTGTAGCCATATCCTTCAAAGTAGTAATCGCTTACTACCACAGTTAAGCGACCTACAAATACCCTCTGATTCGCTCTTGACAACCTGGGATGCTACTTCCCTCTATACGTCCATACCGAATTCAGAAGGATTACGAGCAATATCATGGTGGCTACGGGACTCTAAGTACCGTGATATCATCTTAGAAGGGATAACCATACTTATGAACCATAATTGGTTTGAATTTGGAGACACTTGTTGGCGCCAAACCCGTGGTGCTGCAATGGGTACACCCGCTGCTCCTAGTTATGCTAACTTATATTTAGCATACTACGAGATAAATGTACTATTTCCAATGTTCAAAGACTCTTTGGTTTTCTATACCAGATATATTGACGATGTATTCATCATATTTTCAGTTGATACTTCGCGTCTCTGGTATTATAATCGCTTTAAAGCTGTCATGTCGCGTACCTTTCCGGGTATTAAGTGGACGTCACCATCCCAATCACTAGATTTAGGTATGACACCTCCACCGCAAACAGCTGATTTTCTTGACTTAACTATTACTCTCGAAAATACTACAATTTTTACGCAAACTTATCAAAAAGCGTTAAATTTGTATCTTTATCCCTGTCCTACCAGTGCTCATCCGCCTGGTGTATTTTCAGGGTTAATTCATGGCTTAATCCGCACATATTTTACTCAAAATACGAAACTTGATGATTTTAAATCAACTTTGCGTTTGTTATATACGCGGTTACGTGCCCGCGGATTTTCGGAATATTTCCTAAAGAAAACATTTACATCAGCGTATGCTAAATGTCGCCAACCTTCTACTAATAGTAAGGATGGCATGCGAATTATTCCGTATAAAATCACTTTCGACTCTAACGGCCCTCGCCAAAAGACACTTAAGAAAATGATTAAATTTCGCCAACTTCAACGTCTACTAATAAGACAACGCCTTGGTCGCTTAGTTATTTGCTATAAACGCCCACATAACTTAGCATCATTATTAATTCGTGCTAAAATTCAGCCTGAATTTAAACCAAGTCCAAAAGAACTTTTAAATCTTTAAAACTAAGTAATGTTTTAAATATTTAAATTAATGTTGAAAAGAGATATATAAATATAAAATAAATATAAAAAATATATATGAAGTTGTGTGTACAAACTCCGTACAGCTGGGATGTGTATGAAGCTCGAAAATATTCGAGTTCAGGACACCGTCCCGCCCCTAAAATAGGGGGCTTACCGTACCAAGCGTTTGTACGACCAACTAATTTCCCCGGGAGCGCACGGCCTCAGTGATCCTACATTCCTGGGCAATGGGAATGCGGTATCACATCGTAGGCGCAGTGGCACATTTGGGGAGCCCAAGTTAGGACGTTCCACCGATATGGTAAATTGCACTTGATCTTATCCCGAAATGGGACGAGAAGGCATGATTTTTTGACCCATATCAAGCTTTAGCTTATAGACACTCTAGTACCCACGCGTACAAGTGGCAATATATAATGGGTCATTTTACCCATTTTAGTACCCAATTCCAATTTGGGTACAGTGTGAGGCCCAGTTTTGGCTGGGCCAACACCCAACCCCTAAACCCCAAACCTAAAACCTTATACCTGATATCATCGATTATAACAGGTATCTGTTTTGCGTCTCTAATAACTGTCAGACTTTATAACTGATACTATCGCTTTGAGCGGGTATTTGTTATTGTTAGACTTTCAAACCTTATAATTGATACTATCTCTTTGAACGGGTATTAATTTTTGGTATCAATAATATGATTGGCTTAAAAATTAACATTTTGATTGGCTTAAAAGCCGAATATATGATTGGCTTAAAAATCCTACATATTCGATTGGCTAATAAGTCACCTATCTGATTGGCTTAAATGTCATCAATTTGATTGGTCCAAACCTAAAAAATAATGATTGGACCAAAAGTCAAAATTTTGATTGGTTTAAAAATTAAACAGATTATTTGGTCACAAAATCAAAAATTTAACATAATTTAACAAAATTTGTTTAATTCTATCATATTTATCCTTTCGGCACATTGTCTTAAAACTACTATGCTATGTTTTAAGCGCTGTTGTAAGCCAGCTCAAAAATTTGACTGGTTCACATACGCCGAAAAAACACGTGGGAATTCTCACTGATGAAGGCTACCCAGCCGAAAGGAAAGGTCACTTTTGATTTTCCTTTGAGATACGTGTTTGTATTCAGTAGCCTAGTTATATTCTATATTTTAGTTTTTTACTAGGTTTATACTGTATACTGTATACTTTGTATACTCTGGTATTCGAAGGGAAGTTGACCATGTCTACCTCGGTAGACCCAACCCTAAACCCTAAACCCTAAACCCTAAACCCTAAACCCTAAACCCTAAACCCTAAACCCTAAACCCTAAACCCTAAACCCTAAACCCTAAACCCTAAACCCTAAACCCTAAACCCTAAACCCTAAACCCTAAACCCTAAACCCTAAACCCTAAACCCTAAACCCTAAACCCTAAACCCTAAACCCTAAACCCTAAACCCTAAACCCTAAACCCTAAACCCTAAACCCTAAACCCTAAACCCTAAACCCTAAACCCTAAACCCTAAACCCTAAACCCTAAACCCTAAACCCTAAACCCTAAACCCTAAACCCTAAACCCTAAACCCTAAACCCTAAACCCTAAACCCTAAACCCTAAACCCTACACCCTAAACCCTAAACCCTAAACCCTAAACCCTAAACCCTAAACCCTAAGTTATCTGTTGGTCACTCAAACTTAAGAGGTCTTACCTGTCGCGGTTGAAAAGGTCTGGTCCATTGAGACCCTCGCTGAGGAACACAGGGTCCTCCAACGGACCTAACAGATGGAAAACGCCGGACCGCACAATTACAGCGTCGCGTAGACTACATCATGGTATTCGGAGTGACCCATGCGCCCCGGATACAGTCTTGGGTCCGGAATCTGGTCCACTAACATGAAGTTGACCAGTTGGATATCGCCGTGTCACCGGGATGCACTCGCCCAACAAGTGCACTATTTTCAGGAGGTGGAAGAGTCTCGATTCCAGATCAAGTACTGGAGGGACCAGTACAACGAGGCTGTCAAAAGATTTTTGGCCGAGATTAGGTCGCTGGAGTCCAAGTTGGATGCACTTCGCAGTCCTCTGGCACTGTCAAAACAAGTGTTGGTACTCCAGAAGGAGGTTGCCAACTACAAGAGTCGCGTGAACCCCCTCCGGGAACGAGACCAGCTGCAGAAGCAGCTAACGGTTGCTCGAGGCACGGCGGCAAAATCGACCCCAGCCACGATCAAAGCCCGAAGCCCCAGAACGTCGAAAAGGTCACATTCGCCTTCAGTTCAGGTTCGGTCCCCTCCTAAGTCGAAGAAGCGGAAAGCCAATCATGCCCCGGGGTCATCTGAGGCCTTTTTTTTTTCTACTTCAGAGTTCGACCCAGAGGTCATAGACCTATCGACTAAGGCCAAGTCCAAGGTTCCCGCTCCATCTTCAAGGTCCCCATCCCCTCGTACCTCCCACGCAGCTTCTCGGTCGTCAAAGAAAAACTAGGCTCGTACAGTGTACTCAAACGAATTCTTGGAAATGTTTGGTCCGGACTCTGATACTGAGAGTGACGAGTCTAGTAACGCCAAGAGGAAGCCACCAGCCAAAGGTCCAGCTAGCAAGGGTAATACTTCGGCGCCTAAAGAAACCCGCCGCTAGAGTCCCGCCGGCAAGGGTCTCGCACCACCATCCAAGGGTCCAGTCAGCAAGTGTCTTGCACCAACATCCGAGTGTCCCAGCTACAAGAGTCCCGCCAGTGATGATTCTCCAGACCATAACGTCCAGTGCTCCTCCATTCCTGGTAATGCGAAATCCAGCACGTTCGCCATGGAAAACGTTGCCCTCTGGTCAGTTTCCCAGGTAGAGGCCCTCATTATCACCCAGCTGACGCCAGATAACATTGGTCCAAGGTATCGAAGTAAATGTAGGTACTTAACAACTTGATGGTAAAACGTAAAGTAATTACATATAGGTCCTTAGTTCACACAAAGCTACCTCTAAGCCTATCCTTTTGTATAAGCTTCAGCAATGACTTCAATCGATGACATCATTCCGTGACGTCTTACGATGACGTCACAAAGAC